GAAGAGAGAGAAACAGACCACCTTGGACATGTTTTTCAAGAAGCAAGCTGCCAAAAAACAAAAACTGGAACAAGAGGAGATGACCTGCAAGCTCCGATAGCCTCTCCTGAATCTGACTCCGATTAAAAAATAATAAAAGAGACCCGCTGCAATGTGTAAAAAGTCTGTATCTGTATGAATGTGTAAAGAAAGTGTTCCTCCACTTCCTCCTCACATCTGACTACTTGGCATAATTGGTGACTGCTCCATTTTCATTTATTTTATGGTACAGTATGGTTATTTTATGCTGNAGTCTGTATCTGTATGAATGTGTAAAGAAAGTGTTCCTCCACTTCCTCCTCACATCTGACTACTTGGCATAATTGGTGACTGCTCCATTTTCATTTATTTTATGGTACAGTATGGTTATTTTATGCTGCAGAACGAATTATATGTTTTAACATGTATTTCTATGGGAAAATGCGTTTCGTATAACGGACTTTTCACTTAATTTACATGCACCTGGAATGGATTAAGTTTTTCACAATGTACAGTGAGGCACCACTGTACATTGTGAAAAATCTTATATACTCAAATATTAGAAGGAAAAAAAATATTTACCAGTGTTACTATTTTGAACAATTCCTTCTCTTTCAGCTTCATATTCCACCCAAGCAGCTTGTCTTTCTTCTTCAGTAAGGTCTTCTTCTGATATATTTTGCAACAAAGAATCATGCTCGTGATAATTTACAATCCAGTCTCTGTTTTTTATTAGCATTTCTGCTAAAAGTCGATCCTGTAAACAATGAGTTTAAACAATATAATTGAATACATAAATAAATCTTATTAAAATGTAACATTACATTAACATAGCAAAAAATAACAGTAATTTGTTCTACTTTACAATGATTTTTCTAAGATATAATATGCAGTTTACATTCTGACAATAATAATCAAATAATCAATTGTAAATGTTATAATTGTAATATCTGAAAATCATCATCATCATCATCATTCTGATATCTGAAAGTGATGAAAATAATGATCATTGTAAGAACAGATCAGATAACTCTTCTGTCATTAGTTTTGAGAGAATGATTAAAATAATATATAATTGGTGTAATAGGGTAAGAGGGAAATATCTCAAAGAGTGATAATATAGGTTTAATGAAAAAGTTATGTGAAAATTTTTAATGTTTATAAAAAAAACTACAGTAAAGCCTTGATTATCTGAATCAATTGGGGACTGGGGTTGTTTGGAAAATCAATTTTTCGGATAAACGATTATGTATGAAAAAATATATTAACCTATCCCATGTTGAAATTCATTCAAATCCTGGCATGTCCTTAAGTACCCTTTCATGGTCACGCCAGTGCTGCCAACTAAAAAACGCACATCAACAAAAATAATATTGGAGTAGTCCAAGACATAGCCAAAGATTGCAGTGTCACAGAACTAGCAGAAATTTAAATTTGCCGACAAGAAAGCTTTTGGTTAATTGACTTTTTGATTGATCAACATTCGGATAATCGATGCTCTACTGTACTACAAAAATAAACAGTTTACCTTTATAGTAGAGAGTTTAATTTTAAATCCAAAATACTGTTTCATAAAGTTAAACAATTTTAAGACAAACTTACTTTAGGAACCATTGGAGTAGGTCGTTTACTCTTACTGTCAGGATTAAACATATACAGTTCAGCTAAATCCGCAGAATTAAAGTGACGTTCAATTTGTTGTTCATCTACAACTCGACAAGACAATGACTGTTTTGTAACTTGACGGTCATAGATTTTTTCTTCCATTGTTCCCTACAAAATATAAATAAGGCTCATTTAAATCATGCATAAAAAAAAGGACACATTTATCATTAGCCATTTTTATAGCTGTTAATTAGTTAACAAATTTTAGGAATTTTTTTAACATTTAATAATTATAATCTTTTTAAGTATTTTAAATGCTTGATGTATATAATTTCATTTTGATATTAATATTGACAAATTATTATAATAATGAATTACATATTTAATTTTTTTCTAATTATGACAAACATATTTAATCATAATTATATTGCTCAAAATCAAAAAATTTAATATGTTTGAAGAATTAATCACAACCAGATAACTAATATAGGATTTATAAAAATTCAAAAAATAAACGATTTATTTAGATATTTTCTTTGTAAATTCGTACATTTTTAATATATCAATTTAATTCTAATTTTTTTTTGTTTATTTAATTACTGGTAAACCAAGGTTAATTTGTGACACTTTTTTTTAAAACATTAATTACCAGTTTATTGGACCAAACATATCATTAATAGTAATTTCAGGAAGATTTGACATTCCTCTTTCTTTACACACAAAGTTCTTTCTTNTAGCGAGGTATTAAATGTGACATTTTGGTTGATTGACATTTGGATAATCGATGCTCTACTGTACTACAAAAATAAACAGTTTACCTTTATAGTAGAGAGTTTAATTTTAAATCCAAAATACTGTTTCATAAAGTTAAACAATTTTAAGACAAACTTACTTTAGGAACCATTGGAGTAGGTCGTTTACTCTTACTGTCAGGATTAAACATATACAGTTCAGCTAAATCCGCAGAATTAAAGTGACGTTCAATTTGTTGTTCATCTACAACTCGACAAGACAATGACTGTTTTGTAACTTGACGGTCATAGATTTTTTCTTCCATTGTTCCCTACAAAATATAAATAAGGCTCATTTAAATCATGCATAAAAAAAAGGACACATTTATCATTAGCCATTTTTATAGCTGTTAATTAGTTAACAAATTTTGGGAATTTTTTAAACATTTAATAATTATAATCTTTTTAAGTATTTTAAATGCTTGATGTATATAATTTCATTTTGATATTAATATTGACAAATTATTATAATAATGAATTACATATTTAATTTTTTTCTAATTATGACAAACATATTTAATCATAATTATATTGCTCAAAATCAAAAAATTTAATATGTTTGAAGAATTAATCACAACCAGATAACTAATATAGGATTTACAAAAATTCAAAAAATAAACGATTTATTTAGATATTTTCTTTGTAAATTCGTACATTTTTAATATATCAATTTAATTCTAATTTTTTTTTGTTTACTTAATTACTGGTAAACCACGGTTAATTTGTGACACTTTTTTTTAAAACATTAATTACCAGTTTATTGGACCAAACATATCATTAATAGTAATTTCAGGAAGATTTGACATTCCTCTTTCTTTACACACAAAGTTCTTTCTTTTTAATTTACTGTTTTAAACAATATTGTTAGAAATGTTTGTCACAATTTTACCACATCACTTGGAGTAACTTTTGATAGCTTGTTTGCTACATAAATCTGTAGCAAACAGATTTATGTTTGCTACAGCTCCATGTCACAAAGTTATCACATGGCAATTACTAGTAAGAAAGAAGAGAGGGGAAACAAAAATCATTCATTCATTAGAAATATTCATTTTTATTAATTATTACAAAACAAACAATTTTTAATCCTTCAATAAACTCAAAATCTTATTTTTTTTTTATCATCATCAGAAACATAAGGAAAAAAATATTGGTCAATTTTGGAAATTCAAGAGGATGTAATGAGCATTCCAAAAAAGATCTTTTATGAAGACATACATAAATTACTAGAGCATGCAAAAATTTGTGTATATCTTGGAAAAGTATATTTTGAATTGAATCAGTTTTGCCAAAAACTTTTTTACATAAATGCAATCACCAAACTCAGCAATGCACCTTTTATATTAATTAATTAATAAGGATAATACTAATTTTAATAAATTTCTGGTATGCATAATATTTATTTGATATAAATTTTTAATAATTAAAAAATTATCTATAAATTTATAAAATTAAATCATAATTAATAAAGAAATTAAAAAGTTACCTGAGCCAATAATCTATAAATATAGACAGGTTTTTTCTGACCGAATCTATAAACCCTGAATATAGCTTGAATATCGTGACTGGGATTCCAAGAAGCATCCATAATGATTACACGATTTGCACCTATCAAATTTGTCCCCAAACCACCTGCTTTCTTTGATATCATAAACAATCTAGCTCTGAAATAAAAAAAATGTAATTTTTTTTTATAACTCAAAACAGTTTATTTACAGATAAATTTTTTACTTAAGACTTTTAAAATTCCTTTTTTTACATAAAAAATAAATAAGCTTAAAAAAGAAAATAATAATAAATTCATGACAAGTCAAACTTCCTTAACTTAAACTTTATTTTTGTCCTGACTTAAATCCCATAGACTCAATACATTCTATATTGAACTAAGTCAAAGTGTTTTGAGATCACAATTGATTAACTCAAAATTTAAGATCCAGACTCTTTATTTTATGTCTAGTTTTGTGTGCTTTCTTTTGCATTTTCAAGGGAATGAACAATATTATCACAATGTTAAAGATCAGTATTGAATAGTATTGCATTCTGATTGCAAAACAAAATTTAAAATTTTAACATTTCATGCTTAACATTAATCAAATCTTAGCACTTTAAAAATTCTTTATTTTTTTAAATTTTTAGATTTTGAAATTTAAAAATGTAACAATTCCAAAATAAACTAATATATCTATGATTTAACAACTTACTGAGTTATTGGCTAATAAAATTTATGATTTATTACTTGAAACTAAACATTTATACTGTATAAATTTCACTGTGAAGTATAATCCATGCTAACATTTTCATTGCTGAGAATGACAAATTAATCAGTGTATTAACCATTTTCATTCTAAAGTAGATAACTAAAAATAATTATAAATTAGAAGTTCATACTATTTACAAAAAATATTTAATTTTTGAGTGTATCAATTAATCCTTTTCACACACCATATAAGTACACCTTTTACATTGGTATTGAAGAAATCACTTCATAAAAAGCAAATAACAAAAGGTAAACATTCACATCTCTAAAAATGACTAGATGCCAGCCTTTCATTTTAGGTTCTGACATCTTAACATCAAAAAAATAAAGTAAATCTTCTCACCCTACTATCAAGTTTTATACAATTTGTATCAGGTTCAAGCCCTCTAGTGGTAGATACGAGTTATCTTTAATTTGCATGTAGTTACAATTTCATGATGAACTCAGGATTTTTTCTTCCAATTATTATTGTCTGTCCAATTATTGTTATTTTTTTTATGAAGTGATTTCTTCAATACCAATGTAAAAGGTGTACTTCTATGGTGCATGAAAAGGATTAATTGATAGACTCAAAAATTAAATATTTTTTGTAAACAGTCTGAACTTCTAATTTATAATTGGAAGAAAAATATCCTGAGTTCATCATGAAATTAAAAATGATAAGCAAGATAAAACTAAAGATCCTGTTGATGACAACAGAAAGGTATGTCTTAAAGACCACAGAGAAAATCAAAAGAACAAGGATATAACAGTTCTTAAAGAAAGAATAAACCTTGGAGGGATAACAAAGAACAGATTTTGGAAAAACAATCTTTGGAGCAAAGAACCAAGTGTTCTTGAAACAAGTGTTTTTATAAGTTTCTCTCCTCTATTTTGCATTCTGACTGGTCTTCCCTTGTCTTCCAGTGACAATTCAAAACCTTTCAGGGCATGGGAGAGGTCATTATCAACACTTAACCAGATCCCAATTATCTAAAATTCCTTTGAACTTTGGAATTCTCCACTGTAATTCTAGCATTTTGTTTTCCATTTTGATGAAAAGAACCATATGTTTAAATCAGACTAAGTTTTGCTTTGTTTTAATTTTGAAAGGCATGAGATTAACTGTTCTGCCAGATATTCATAGTCAAAAACATAAAATTTCAATTTCTGTCTGGGACCTCACAATAACATCTGTTGCTTATTCAAAGAAATGAGATCCTCAAAATAAAGGTTCGCTCTGCCGTCTCCATCCTCAGGCTATTATATTCATCTGAAAGTGTGATAAAATTGAGTATAATGCAACATACTACAAATTTCATATTCTAATGAGTAATTGTTGCTTAATAATTATTTTATAATAAAATAATTATTAAGCAACAATTACTTTATTATAAAATAAATAATAAATACAGTTGAAGTAGATATTTCTATTTTTTGTCTACTGTTTAATAAATTTTTACAAATATATTTATTTAATTCTCTATAAAAATAAATAAATTTAGCTTATATGCATAAGAAAGTTCCTAAATGAAGGAAATTATTCTCTTGCAAATATTTTTGAAGGTTTACTTTACATAACATGTAAAGTTTCTGAGAATGGTTTTCTTTTCTCTTCATTTAATTTTAACTTATAAAAATGTTTAATCTGAGCTCCTGTTTGCAGTTTGTGTAATAATGTAAAAATGCATGTGAATAACTCCATTGACATAGCTTTTTATTTTGAAACCTACTTTGTTAAAGCCTTTAATTATGTGTCAGAGTAACCTCTAAATAAAAATATACTTTATTTAAAATTATAAAAGGAATTCCACATAGATAGCATAAAATCTATACTGTGACCTTGGAACTGCTGATCCAAAATGGTGAATCCATAGGGAACATTCGTGTCTTGACCTTATGTTTATAGACCATGATTAAAACTAAATATCAAAATATAATTTTTTGTTTTTACATTTATTAATATATTTATTTTGTTTGTGCAAAATAAAAAAATAATTTTGGACAATACAATAGTTACAATTATTTTTTTCATAAATGGGAAATTTTTGTAAGGCATAGACAAAAATTCAACCTGGAGCGAGAAGGAAGAAAGAGAAATTCAACATTAGAAAGGTTAATTTCACCGAAAATGCATCATGGATTACTTTGTGATCATGGCTAAGGCTGGCAAAGTTTGAATAATCATGCTCAAAACCAGCGATACCAAAGATTGGAGAATAAGAACAAAACCTGTTGTGAGTATCAAAGTGATCCTGCTTAGTAATGAGTCTCCAAGACATAGTCTTGTCCCAAATACGGTCTTGCCATTTTATTTTAGTTCTTACAAAGTCATGATGATAGCATACATGCCAACAATTCACCTTTTGAGTGAAAACAGTTAACCTTTCCTCCTCTGTTTGTCCTGTGACCTGCCCTCCAAAAATATTTGTTTATCATTTTCAAGTGTTTTTAATAATTTCTGTGACTATACTTTCTTTTAATATTCCTTAATTTTAAATGAGATCTAATTCTCGTCATAATTAAAAACTACACTACTGTCCAGATGAGATATAAACAAAAATTTTAATCTATAAAAACTACAGTAAAACCAGGTTAGCATGTTTCTGTATTAGATGTTTTCTTGCCTAAGTTGTTCAAATTGTGTGGTTCTGACATTTTGCCCATAAAACATGTATTAAAAATTCCTGCATAAGATTGACAAGCATAAAAATAAGAAAATAATATTTACAAATACAATATTAGAATGGTATAAAATGTAAAAGTCAACTTATGGCCAAACTGGTTTATGAGTGGTTTCTCAGAACAAATTAAAGTTGTAAGTCAATGACTAACTGAATAAGGTAAATTCTCACTAAAGAGAAAAACTGAAAAAAGATCAGATGAAACAATTTATAAACTAAAAAGAGATAACTATTATTTTCTTTTATTTTGGGTTTGATTCTTTCCTATCTACTTTCTTTTTTTCATTTAAAGATTAGCATAACTATATTTTAAAAAAAACCAGCATCTAATATATAATTAAGAGTAATTTGCATTTCTATCAATGGAAAATTACTTTAAAATTAACTGTTGTTTAGTCTAGTCAAATAACAAATTATAATTTAAATAAATTGAAAATTAACTTGCTAATTGTCAAATAATTTAAAAATTTAATGTGTTAACCCATTGAGTCCTTTGCCTGAGTTATCTCAAACACATGCGCAAAATAACATAGTCCCTAGCCTGAGTTAACTCGGGCAGTTTACACAGCATAATAAAAAAAAAAAACAGTCCTTAAGTATATAACTTTTCCAAAAATGTATGGGCTAGTTTATATACATAGTTATCTATGACCTATGCAAATTTTATGAATTATTTCTGCCACGATAAATTTTTTATAATGTTTTATTAATTAGCCAATTAATTACACTACTGTAAGGTCTCTTTTTATGCATATTATTTTTATGCGATTTTGAAGTTGTGCGGTTTGTATTTCNCAATACCAAGTTGGCATGCAACAAGCATGACCAACTCACAGCATCAACTTGCAATATTACCAAATACATTGTGAATTCTACTTCCACTTGATCACCAAGTATAATAGAAATAAATCAATAAACTAAATTCATAACTTGAATTAAAATAGCAGACAGTATATTTCACAAGTTTAAACAAATATATAGAAAAAACTAAAATGTCTTCTAGCTTCCGTCCTGTCTAATCATCACAAACTACACACAGATAGACAAAATAAACTTTATTCTGCCCGACACCGCTAGGCACAGTCGGGATGAATATATACAGGGTGTACATAGAGGTGACATCACAAACAACAGTCTTCACTTTCCACATCCAACTTTTTATTGCAGGCTGCACCTCTGAACAATTATATAGAACAGTTAAAAGTTCACCGACGATAAGCCAATTCATTAAAAATAAAATATACATAATTTGAATTAAAATGGCACATGGTATATTTTATAATTTTAAACAAATATATAGAAGAAATCTGTATATATCATTCATGAACGGAAAATAATACAAAACTTTGAAGGTAAATTCTTGACTAAATCCATTACATGAACATTATGCAAAAATAAGATTCAACATATCCGTGACAGCAATCAATCTATTAAAAATTTCTCTTCTTTATAAACTCATTCAGCTATTATTCATTGTCCTAAAATAGCAGTATACAGATTTAATATTGTGTAAATTATCATTATTGTTTATGATGACAGAACAAACAACAAACAGTATATTTGTAAATTAATTAAAAGTGTACCTCAACTCTGAATTGGCAAAACAAACAAGTGACAATGTTCTCTGACACTTGTTTGTTTTAGAAGATGTGCAAGATTTCAACACATCTATTAAAATTTTAAATATGACAGTAGGGTTTCTCATTTCCCGGTATTTTGCTTGTCCCGGGATCCCGGGATAAAAGTGAACTGTTTCCCAGGATCCCGGGAAATCCCGGGATAGAATTAATTATTTTTAAGGTATACAAAATATCTTGAAATCAAATGATATAATTATTTTCCATTTTTTAAAGTAATTTTAAAGTTTTGTAACCTCCAAAATCATATTAATAATGCTGTGTTAGGTCTATAGGCCTATAATAAAAATTACCTTTAAATAACGTAGAAATTTTCACAAATAGAAAAAAATTAATTAAAGTTTGCTGGAAACTGCATACAACAACAACAA